AAAATATTTTTTTAGATGTACAATTCTATGAGTTTTGATTAGAATGTATGACCCATGCATATAGTCATATAACATCACCACAGTCAAGCTGTGGAACATTTCTATTATCCCGCAGTTTCCTTATGGCCTTTAGTAATCAACTCCTTTCCCCTCACTTCCAGATTTTGACAATCTCTGAGCTGATTTCTGCCCCTGTAATTTTGCCTTTTCCAGAATATTGTGTAAATGGAATCATACAGGACAGCCTTTTGAGTCTTTCTTCTTTCACTTGGTATAATGTTTGATATTCATCCATGTTGTTGCAGCTATCACCAGTTCATTCCTTTTTATTGTAGGAATGTTTGCTTCTCCATTTACCAGAGATGGACATGGGGTCATTTTCAGTTTGGGGATATTATAAATGAAGTCACTCTAAACAATCACATACAGATTTTTGCGTGCACAAATGTTTTCAATAGGAAGCTGCAAAACTGTTTTCCAAAGTGGCTGGACCATTTTGCATTAACACCACCAATGTGTGAAAGTCCCAGTTGCCCACATATTAAGCAACACTTGATATTGTCTGTTTTTTGTTTATTTGTTTGTTTTTGTTTTGTTTTACTCATTCTAATAGGTATTTCATTGTGGTTTTAGTTTGCATTTCCCTAATGATTGATAATGTTGAGTAGGTTTTCATGTAGAATTTTTCCATTCATATCTCTTCTTATGATTGGACAGTGTGTTTTCTTATATTTGAGTTGTGAGAGGTCTTTGTATATTCTAAATGTCAGTCCATTTTTAGAAATGTGTTTTGCAGATATTTTTTTCACAGTCTTTGATTTCTTTTTTCTTCTACCTTAATTTTCAAAGAGTAGAAATTTTTACGAGGTTCTATTTATTAATTCTTTTCTTTTGTAGTTCATGTATTTTGTGTTCTAAGAAATCTTTCATAAGTGAAGGTCGCAAAGATTTTTTATATGTTTTCTTTTGGAAGTTTAATAGTTTTAGGTATTTTAGGTCTATGATGTATTTAGAATTTTTGTACATGGCGTGAGATGTGGGTTGAGGTTGTGGGGGTTTTTTTTGGTGGGGAGGTCATATGGATGTTGAATTGTTCCAGCATCTGTTGTTGCAGAGTATCTTTTTTCTATTGAATTGCCTTGGCATCTTTTCTGACCATATATGTGTGGATTTATTTCTGGATTCTCTATTCTTTCCCATTGATGCATGTGGCTGTCTTTTCACTAAGGCCACACTGTCTTTATTGCTGAAGTTATATGGTAAGTCCTAAAATCAGGAAGTAAGAATTCTCTTTTGTACTTCATTTTCAGAATTATTTTGGGTATTCCGGTTACCTTGCTTTTCTAGATAAGACATAATTTCTTAAAAGCTAGTAGCAGTGGGGAATCTGAAACCATTAATGAACATTTTGTCCATTGTAACCTTAAAATCTATTGATCTGTCATGCACATCGAATGGATTTTTTTATCCATGAATGCTTTTGTAACATCACACATAGCTCATTTGGAAAATACTGGTTCTCTGAATTATGTAGACCTTCTAAATATTGGCGCATTTCATTATTCTATATAAAAAAGTCAAATTTGTTAATATCACCACTGATCTCATCAGAAGATTCTGTATTGGGAAGGTGTCATGCTAGCAGCATTAGGTACAAATTTTCCAAAATTTTTATTTTTGTTTGAAAACTTAAATTTTATCATTGGCAATGCATACTGTCAGTTGCTTTTCTTAAAGGAACAGGTTCACTTGGCTCACTTTTGAGAACACGTCTGCCAGATTCCCAAGTCTGAATAGCCATAGGTTGTTGAGTTTACAACTCTGTCATACAAGGGCTTTTTCTTGCGGCAGCCATTGTGCAGTTGAACTTTGAACAGCCAAGGTTTGAACTGCATGGGTCCACTTCTATGTGGATTTTTTTTGGTAAGTGTATTGGAAAAATTTTTGGAGATTTGCAACAATTTGTAAAAGCTCACAGATGAACTGTGCAGTCTAGAAATATCAATAAAAATTAAGAAAAAGTTAGGTTATGTCATGCATCCATACAATATATATAGAGATACCTGTCTATTTTATCATTTTTCCACCATGAAATATACACGAATCTATTATAAAAGTTAAATTTGTCAAAACTTATGCATACACACACAGACCATACGTGACACCATTCACAGTTGAGAGAAATGTAAATAAACATAAAGATGCAATATTAAATCATAACTGCATAAAATTAACTGTAGTACATACTGTCCTACTGTAATAATTTCATAGCCGTTTCCTGTTGCTATTTCGGTGAGCTCAAATGATTTCTTAAAATGCCATATGACACTAATCATCTCCACGTGAGCAATTCACCTCTCCACTAAATTGCACATGGCAGTAAAAAGTGCTTTCTTGCAGTTCTTGTGTATTTTCATCCTGTTAAGGGCAAAACCATAAACCTTGAATAACAACACCAGGGGACTCACACGAAATGCTACTAGTGATGCAGGAAGTACTCCTAAAAAGCAGAGAAAAGTCATGCCATTACAAGAAAAAGTTGAATTAATTGATACTTACTGTAGATTGAGATCTGCAGCAGTGGTTGCCCGCATTTTGAACAGACGATCCATCTTGTAAACAGATGATGTAAACTTACAGTATTGATAAATACAGTACTGTAAATGTATTTTCTCCTCTTTATGATTTTCCTATTTTTTTTTTCTAGCTTGCGTTAGTGTAAGAATATATAATACTTTCAACCTCCGCAATATATGTTAATCGACTATTTATGTATGTTATCGGTAAATCTTCCAGTCCACAGTAGGTTATTAGTAATTAAGTTTGGGGTGAGTCATAAGTTATCCATCAATTTTCAACTATGTGGGAGGTTGGTGCCCCTTACCTCTGAGTTTTTGAAGGGTCAACTGTACTTAACTAGGCAGCAGAATTACATTTGTTTACTTCCCATTTTGTCAAACAAAATATTAAAAATAGTCTACTCAAGGGTTGAGATTTAATAAAATTAACAATTTTTGCTGCTTTTCATCAAGGATGTTCTTAAGTAAAGTGAAACTAGTGTTGTTCAGAGAAATCTTGTGATATATGTGGTCATTTCCCATTATTATGTTTATGCTTATACTTAAAGTACAAGAATTAACTTGGTAATTAAAACCCAAAGTCATAACACTGGGAAGACAGTAAATTATTGACATTTTAGGAACACCTGAAGTTGGTATCTTGGAAGACAGTCTCTTATTTTAAGAGCTAATACAGTTATATTAAATTGTTGTTTCTATTATCTTACAGGTGCTATACTTGGTAGATCAGAAACTCAGGAGTGTCTTTTCTTTAATGCTAATTGGGAAAAAGACAAAAGCAATCAGACTGGTGTTGAACCCTGTTATGGTGACAAAGATAAACGGCGACATTGTTTTGCTACCTGGAAGAATATTTCTGGTTCCATTGAAATAGTGAAACAAGGTTGTTGGCTAGATGATATCAACTGCTATGACAGGTAAGGATATATTTTATTTTTTATGATAGTTTGAGTAATTTTCATCCTTCCCCAATTTTTAAAATGGGAAAGATGAATGTATGGATTTTCTCTTTAATGTTTCTTGCTTTTTTAAAGATGGGATTATGAAGAACATTACAACATGCTGTAATGACAAGATATGAATTTTAAAGTAATAAAATACATTTGGCATGTTTGCGTTTTATCTCTGCTATATTTTGAATAATTTACCAAATAGTAAGAACTCTTAGGTAAGAACCATTTCCTTCCCCATGTTGTTAGGATTATAAATCTTTTTAATGCCAATATTAAGGAAAAAGAATTTTGAAAATAGCTTTAAAAGAAAGTATATCT